TGTCTCCCCTGTAGTGGGCCGCAGGCTCCGAAAGGTTGTGTCTGTTGCTGCCTTCCCTGTAACAGGCCGAAGACTCAGAACTTGTTGGTCTGTTGCAGTCTCACTTTCACAGGTCGGAGACTCAGAACAAGGAGTGTCTTTTGGGAAGGTACCTTTATCTCTTTCTGATGAGGAGGAGATTGCAATTTGGCACTTCTCCATTTCCAGGCTGTGATTGGTGTGAAGGGTGTGGCCCACCCTTCTTTCCTCCTGGGGAACTTATTTGCAAAGTCCAAACACACATTTAAGCCGCTTTTCCACCGAAATTACCTGGAGCAATTTGTACCGTGAATAATAGGCAAATAGTCTGGTGACGTAGGTCTGCGCACGTTTCTCAATACCAAGTATGAAAATTTTGTTCTTGCGTCTTTAGTAGTTCGGAACAGCAGCGTGCTTGATAACGTCAGTCAGCTCACCTTGGCAACTGCAATTTTCCTCACTGTATTTACAATAAGACGAAATATGATATCCAACACCACTGCCCCTTTTCGTTTTCATTTAAACATATTAATAGCTGCAGAAATGTAGTTCAGGGAACGTACATACATTACAATGAAAAAAAATATATATCAAACAGTATAGCCTCTTTTCATTTTCATTTTAACTTATTAATAGATTAATAGACCAAAGATTACCTGTTAGATTTACCCAAAACAAATTATATCTTATGTTTAACCACAACAGAGACATCAGAGCCAGCAGGAAAAGGTCAGAAGGACTAGCCAAGTTGAGGCTGCTCTCGTCGGGAAACATGAGCACTGATCGCGTGGAGCTCATGTCTCCGACATCAGCGAAGCACATTTTCAAATAGGCGCCGTCTTTATAAATAAACCTAAAAATTTAAAATAAAAATTATTTTAAAACTAATTTCATAACATAATAACAGTAATATTTGTAAAAAATTATGCGAATAAATGGTGGTTGAAATACAATGCTGCGTGAATTCAACCAATCAGCATGTTCAGCGCCCAAGTCCTGCCCTGAAAGTTCTGGACCTTTGAAAAAGTACTACCTCGTGAGCAGGGACTTTCTGAGGGGCAAATTTTATTTAGATCCTGGTTCCTGCGGTGGAAACACCCTAGTTCCTGGGGAAAATTCCTGCAGTGGAAACAGGCTTTTAGAAATGTGTCACTAAAGTTTTACCAACGCATTATTCACTTACCAAACCACAACCAGAATACCTTTGGCAATGTTACGAACACATTTAAATCCAAACATGATGGAAGAAGATTGAACTGTCATGCATGCATTCATTTGTCCATTAACAGCTGAGTTTGTGTAAGATGTTGCACTACACATTGCTGTGACTGAGAATACGTATTCCTCTGAATAAGTATAAGATGTGTGTGTGTTGTAGTTTGCATCAGTTTAAGGTTTGAGAACATAGTTATGAGTGGATTTGGATGGAACTTTTTTTTTTATGGCGGTCACAGGCCAAAACCTGAGGAATTAGTCTGTTGGTGGGTGAAGGGCAGAAACTGCATTTTGACCAATGAGAAGTCCTGTCCTTCCCGAGCTTTGTACCAAAGGTCTACTTCTTGCCCTCTAAGAGGTGTTTGGCTGTTGTCCTGGCATCTTTATCTGATGGCATTGGACAGTTTGCTTATGTTAGTCCACCAAGATCCAATCAAAATGTAGCAAACCTTTGTCCACTATTGTGGTCAGAGAGGGAATGTGCTGTCCACTATACCTAGCAACATAAACAAACCTGCAGCAGACTGCTCTTTTCTCAAGATGTGAATTTACCAATTCTTACTAGCTGTTGCCTATCTGTCAGAAAGCTGGTGATCCATTGACAGATAGAGCTAGGGACAGAGAGCTGGGTTAGTTTGGTCTGGAGGAGTGTTGGGATGATGGTGTTGAAAGCGGAGCTAAAGTCCACAAACAGGATCCTCACATAAGTCCCTGTTTTGTCCAGATGTTGCAGGATGAAGTGCAGTCCCATGTTGACTGCAACATCCACGGACCTGTTTGCTCAGTAACAGGGTCAAGTAAGGGTCCAGTAATGTCCTTCAGATAAGCCAACACCAACCTCTCAAATGTCTTCATGACCACAGACGTTAGGGCCACAGTTCTGTAGTCATTAAGTCCTGTTATCTTGGGTTTCTTTGGGACGGGGATGATGGTGGAGCGTTTGAAGCAGGCAAGGACTTCGCACAGCTCCAGTGATCTGTTGAAGATCTGTGAGAAGATGGGGGCCAGCTGGTCAGCGCAGGTTTTCAGACAGGCTGGTGTCACACCGTCTGGGCCTGGTGCTTTTCTTCTCTTGTTCTTTCTGAAGACCTGGCGCACATCATCCTCACTGATCTGAAACGTAGGAGTGGGGGAGAGGGGGGTTGCAGGAGGTGTTGATGGTTGTGTGGAGAGATGTTCAGAGCGGGTGTGGGGTGTTAGACTGGGAGTTTCAAATCTACAGTAAAACTCATTCAGGTCTTCAGCAAGTTGTTGATTGGCCTCAGTGCTGGGGGATGGTGTCTTGTAGTTGGTGATGTCTCTCAGGCCTTTCCACACTGATGCAGGCTCATTCGCAGAAAACTGGTGTTCTAGTTTTTTAGCGTAGTTCCTCTTGGCCACTCTAATCTCCTTATTCAGTGTGTTTCTGGCCTGATTGTACAAGACTCTGTCCCCCCTTTTGTAGGCGTCCTCTTTGGCCTGACGAAGATGACGAAGTTTTGCTGTAAACCATGGCTTATCATTATTGAATGTTAAATGAGTCCTGGTAGGGATGCACATGTCTTCACAGAAACTGATATATGATGTTACAGATTCCGTGAGCTCGTCCAGATCGTTGGTGGCTGCTTCAAAAACACTCCAATCAGTGCAGTCGAAACAGGCTTGTAATGCCTGCTCTGTTTCATTGGTCCATCTCTTTACAGACTTTACTACAGGTTTAGCAGATTTAAGTTTATGCCTGTAAGTCGGTATAAGATGAACCAGGCAGTGGTCAGAGAGTCCTACAGCTGCTCTGGGGACTGAGCGATATGCATCCTTTATTGTGGAGTAACAATGGTCCAGTATATTACTGTCTCTGGTGGGACATGTGATGTGCTGTCTGTATTTTGGCAGTTCACGGGAAAGATTTGCTTTATTAAAGTTCCCGAGAATTATTAAAACAGAGTCCGGGTGTTGTTGTTCTGTCTCTGTGATCAGATCAGCGAGTTTCTGTAAAGCTGAGCTCACGTGCGCTTGCAGAGGAATGTAAATACTCACGAGAATGAACGAGTGAAACTCCCGAGGCGAATAGAACGGCTTACAGTTAATGAAAAGCGCTTCTAGATCTGAACAGCACATCTTCTTTAACGCTGTAACATCTGTACAGCACCTTTCGTTGATGTAAAAACATGTCCCACCTCCGCGCAATTTCCCCGTTGATTGTGCGTCGCAGTCTGCTCTAAACAGCTGAAAGCCGGGCAGTTGTAGCGTGCTGTCCGGAATGGCGTCATTCAGCCAGGTTTCCGTGAAACACAGAGCAGCAGAGTGTGAAAAATCCTTGGTAAAACTGATCGTGTTTGAGAAACAAAAAACAGGAAAAACTAACAAAAACAGTACAAACACTGGAGAGCCAAACACTGAGGCTGTCGTCTGCGGTGCCATTGCATAGCATCACTCAAAATACCATGCTCTAAGACAAAGAGTCGTAAACTTTCCCTCCAAAAGTGAAAGTCACCATTGGCTCTGTGACCTCCCGGAGGTGTGAGCTCAATAGGAGATAAAGCTCCCACATCAGTGACCCGCCTCAGTCAGTCTGCGGTTCTGTTTGATTCTGAGAAGATGAGGATGAGATAGAACACTTCTGCAACCCTTAAGTCTGCACCAGGCTTCGGCCTTGTTGTTTGTTTGTTTGTTAGACTAGTTTGTGTTAGTGTTTAGTTAATAAAACTCTTGTGCACAAATTACATGAGTTTCCGATTCTGCCTTGCAAATTAATGTCCCTTTACAATTTTAATCCTCGCTACATGCTCTAATGCATTAATACTGTATGAAGGTATTTTCTCTGGCCACGAAAATATCCTTTCCTAGAGTTGATATGAACTTACACTGAATGTTCACTGGACGAACAGATTAGTTGAGGGCAATTTAATTCTGCTACAGTCACTACTGGCAGCTGAAATAATTGTAATTAATCATAATTAATTGTAATTATTTATGCACATTTCCCTTTTGAGCTAATTTGCTACAGCGTTCTGTCTGATCGGGGCGTAATACAAACAGTGAAACAGTTGGAGTTCTGTTATCGCTAGAATATCACACTCTTATCAGCCAATCAGATTTGAGGACCAGAAAGAACAGTTGTATAAATATATATGACCAAACATTCAGGTGTGCAGTACAATGCAGGCCCCTTTTCTCGCACACAGTTGGGAAGGGGGGTGTTGTTTGACTGTTAATTCTAGTTTTGTATGTTCATTATGTTTGTTGATGCATATACGTTTACATTTAGTCATTCAGGGACACGGGACAATCCACTTTTGTGAATGTATTTCATTTAATTTATTTGCAAACAGCAGCAAATGTGCAACTTTTTTTTTTTTTATATAAAGTTAAAAAATATTACATTTAGGTTTAAAATTATTCCATTAAGCATGGAACAATAAACATTGAATACCACACATTTATACTAAATGATTGCTTATGATCTACTGCAGATGAATTATGACAATGCTTACTTTATGGTCAGGTTTTTATATTGTAATACGTGTTAGATGCATTTTAGAGTGTATATTTTTTCCCCACTTTTCTGTTTGAATGAGCAGCTGTAAGAAGTAAGGACATTTTAAAATAAGAGTCCTGCTGAATTGGTCAAAATTAAAAGTATTAACTATTAATTTCTTTTCTTTATTATTGGCATTTCAGTTACTTAAACTGTAGCTTGCATTTAATTCAGTGTTTAAAATATACTGCCTGAAGCAGAAACATTTAAAAACCTAATGTACTTTTTGTATTCAAATTAATTTTGCTTGTAAATATCTCATATCTCTTTATTACAGGAAAAACAAATTATTTAATTTCACCGCTAAAGTACTTTATGCGCTCCTAAATGTTTCAAATTAGCAGCACATGGAAATCCAAATAATGCAAAGACTGTTTATCTTCAAATACACAAGCCACACATTATGCTGTAAAAAAGGTTTATGAGAGTAGAATGAGAGCTGACAGGTTAATGTGAGCGGTTGAGGGAAGTGAAGGTGTTCAGGAAATCTGTTCAGTGTACAGTTTGTTTGAGGAATGATCCGCTGTGTTGCTGGCGAGGGCTTGCTGCGGTGAGTCTCCTCCTAAAAGCCCAGCGCTGCTGAAGTAAAACGGCACGTGAGAGATGCGCCCGTCAGACCAGCACTGTAACAGACAGAGACTCAACAATCAGCTTCAGACTGCATCATACACGGTTTACACTGCAATCATTTTATCTCTATACATCTAACACAGCGTCAGGTCAGGTAGATGTGTCCTATTACCTACACTAATAGGACACATCTTACAGAGTTACGTTGCCATTTCAGCTTCACTTCTGCTGCTCCTATTGTGTCACGCAGTGCTCAAAGCCCTCCTCCATCCACGGCTGCAGAGCATTATATGACTAGCAGGCTCGTTCTTCTCGAATCATGTGACTCACCACAGTAAGCAGAGCGCCGTGCTGGAAGTGCGGATGGAACTGCATGAACCTAGGCTCTGCTCCAGCCTCTCCCATCACAAAACCACTACATAAGAGAAAGACACAATGGATTCTGGAAAGTCCTGACAACAGTAACGCTACTCAGTTTCCCAGCAGAGCTCACACAGAATCATACGCACCACGGCAGCAGCTCAAAGACGGGACTGGAGCGCGTTTTGAAGACTGCTATGACTGAAGGGTGATTAACCGCCTGTGAATCACCTGCGTGAAGAACAAATGATGAACCAAAGAAGAAAGGAATGCAAAAGAGCGGCTTTAAGGGATCAAGAGATTCTTCATAAGAAAACCTTTGCATCATTTATCATCATCTCTTAAGTGGTTTTGTTAAAATATTATAAACATTTGAAAAACGTTTGTCTGTTAACATGCAGAATTGTTCAGGAAAAAAAAAAAAACAGAGAGGAGCCTGAAAAACTCATGTTGACATGGCAAGATGAACTCTGGTTGTAAAATTTCAGTTGGCATTTCTCAATTTATGATATTTGTAAAAAGTACTTTTTTCCTTTAAATACGTTTAGGTTTTTTTTATATATATAATTTAAATTTACCATATACTCAAATGTATTTTAAGTTGTAAGGGAAAAGTCATTACTGTCAGCTTAGTCCAGCAGATGTTGACCAATGTGCTGTACATAATATGTGTCCCTGGAGCACAAAAGCAGTCTTAAGTCGCTGGGGTATATTTGAAGCAATAGCCTAAAAAACATTGTATGGGTCAAAATTATAGATTTTTCTTTTATGCCAAAAATCATTAGGATATTAAGTAAAGATCATGTTCCATGAAGATATTTTGTAAATTTCCTACCGTAAATATATCAAAACTTAATTTTTGATTAGTAATATGCATTGCTAAGAACTTCATTTGGACAACTTTAAAGGTGATTTTCTCAATATTTAGATTTTTTTGCACCCTCAGATTCCAGATTTTCAAATAGTTGTATCTCGACCAAATATCCCAGGGTCACATATAATAATCATAATATCATAACATTTCGCATGAACACAGCACATCTTCAACATGTCCGTGCTTGTGTATTCCTGTTTTACGTATTGATTCAGTTCAAAAATGCTTTGCCAAGAAGTCCAGCATTTCATTCATTTTCTAGCTACTAATTCTGCTGCCAGATTTTCATCTGACACACTCACCAGGGGAAAGAAAACCCGCTTCGTCCGCTGTGTTTTAAAATTTTCTGCTACACAAACATTCACGTTTGCCTTGCTGCAGCCTAACATGCTACAGAGCTGTAAAGTGGCTAAAGATCTGAGAAATCTGTTTTTCTAGCGATGAGCCTGCTTCATCTAACACAGGCAGCTGGATGGTAGAGTGGGTCACGAGGGCTTTGTTTTACCTTTCAGAAGCACGGCGAGTCTTTCACCTCTCGGATCCCATGAAAGAGAGCACACCTCTCCCCCGACACTGAGAGAGAAGAGAAACTCAAGCAGTAAAATCCATTTCACTGGGTAAGTGTTTCAGTTGCTTAAATAACTTTCTACGCACCACATTACTCTGTAAACGCTCTCCTCAGGAATAAACATGTCACGAGGAAAGAGTGTAATTCACGTAAAGCCTGGAACACACTACACTACTTCTGCCCAGATTTACAGTCTGGAGAAACCGACTCTATTTGCTGAAAGTCAGAGCCAGTCTGCAGATTTGAGTCGACAAACATGTTTGATATCTTCAGCCGATTTTAGAACACATATTGTTTTCAACTTTAAAGTCTGATAGTGTTAGATCCTCAGTCGTAGTGTATGATGGCCAGGTTTCCTCTGTGACCATTGTCTAGCGTTTTAAAATCGCTAGACAACTTTTTTTACAGTTGTGTAGCGTATTCCAGTCTTAAAGCGCTAGAGTATTCTTTATGTACACAGGCTAATGCGACACATGTAAAAAATGGCCGTCTTACGTGAGGTCTCCATCAGGTCCAGGGAAGGAGGTCTCAGAGAGATCAGCCACCACGCTGGCGGCTTTAGAACCACCTGCAACACCAGACAACACTGTACTACATACTGTACCAGCCTGTTTGTGTATGAGGACACAATGGACTTAGTCAGGCTCCTGTATTAATCAAAGTTGTCAGCACTTCTAACCATGATCCATGTAAGCTCTGTAGGGAGTCACAGAGGCGTTTATAGTTTTGTGGCAGAGTTCAGCTCCAGCCAGCTCAAACACTCTCGCCTGGATGCTTCTAGTGAGTCTGAAGAGCTGCTTCAGGTGTGTTTCATTAGGGTTGGAGCTGAACTCTGCAGGACCGTTGGTGCATTCAAGTCATGACAAATAGATCGTATTTACGAGTTGAAAGCACATGAACGCCACCACAAAGTCATTATTACGAGTGGGAAACTCAATTTTCTTTAAGCCCCGAGTTTCAGAGTTGGGGGCGTGTCAGTGAGAAAACGTGTCTGATGCAATGGACACAGCCAAAGACTATAGATATGCAGTGACTGTGTTGACAGTAAATTAGTTGAAATTAATAAAAAAAAATTTGTACAATAAAACTATTAAAGATCCTTATACAAAATATTTTATTATTGTATGATTACCATAGAATGATTCAGTTTACTACATCTTCATAAATTGAATAAAAACAGAAAAAAGCAAAAACACAATGATGCACATCCTTTATTCATCATTTTGTAGATGCAGAGTTTTAAAAAAATTGTTGAATTTTATGTAAAAATTGAAACCGCCATCTGGTTCCCACCAAAGTAGGGATGGGCGTTATCTTATCGTTTGCGATATACCGGTAAAAATTCTCCCCACGATAAGAATGAGTCTTCCCGCGATAATAACGATAAAGTCTAGTTGTTGACATATTTCTGTGTGAGACAGACGTGAAATTAAGGAGGAGTTTAACTCTAAATGAGGAGCTCCTTCTACAGTCTGGAACTGATTAGGGCTGAACAGTGCGACAAACAAATCGGTCTGAATAAATGTACTACAGTAGCACGTGTGCGATACAGTTTTGCATTTGTATGAGCCGGTTTACAAACCTGTTGTCCAACAAAGATATCATTTATTGACATGCATTTTCTCCAAATTAACTTAATATCATAGTCGAGTGTTTGAAATAACTTATTTTTGTGACCAGACGTGGTTTCATATTACAGAATGATAGTATTATATACAGTGATAAAGGCCATGTCGATTAACATTGCATTATAAATATACTTTCCTTATAAAAAATACCCAAGATTGCTTGAAGAACACAGATAAACCATTTATTTTGTGCAATCGTATGTTTATTGTCTTAAAGTTTCATCAGTTAAAGCTTCTCTATGTCCGTTGTGCATTTTATTCAGCGATAACTGGATACCTTTGTCCATATTAGGGATTTCCTGGAGCGTCGTCAGTGCTATTACTCCTGCGATGCATATGTTTCTGCGCAAGAGCGCCCTCCGGCTTCCAGTATGAATTAAACAGTCTTTACATTACGTGTGAACTCATTAATGCTCACAAC